ATTTTGGTAGATGTTGCCAAATTGCTTGCTCCTCTGTAGACACTGTAACAGTAGCAATGTGTGAGATTCTGTGTCCTATCTTTACCCACACAGTGTACTGGTAAACTTTTTGATTTTTGCCAATCTGATCAGTAAAAGGTACAGCAGCTAGTTTTATTCTGCATTTGTCATATTATGTGTGAGGTTGAGTGTTTTTTCAAATGTTTAAGAGCTATTTCCTTCGTTGCGGACTGTATTTATATCCTTTGCTGATTTTTTTATTGTGTTATTGATCTTCTTATTGATTTGTAAGAACTTTTTATATAAGTGTGAGATTAATGCTTTATCTCTGAGACACTAGATATCTCTCCTACTTTTTTGGTCTGTCTTTTGGCTTTGTTAGCAGTGGTTTCTGTGTGAAGAAGTTTCCGATTTTTATGTAGTTAAATATATCAGTGGCTTTTGGCTTCTGAGTGTCTTGTCAAAGGCCTTTCCTACATTACGTTAAGATTATTAAATTTTGGGGGGCCTTCCCTGGTGGCGCAAGGGATTAAGAAGCAACCTATGAGGCTATCCACAGCCACTGATGAATTAGTTTGATCCCCGGCCAGGGAGCTGCCCACATGGCACAGTAGACTTCTCCTGACTCGCCCACTGCTCCCCTCAGCAGTGTATCTCAGTCAGTCTGCCTGTTCTGTTCCCCACTCTGTCTCTGGTGAATCCTCTCACCTCCCGCACCTCTGGCCATACCCCAGCTCTTGTATGCATAAATAAATATTTAAAAAAATTATTAATTTTTTTCCTCCATTGTTTTTTCTAAGCCACCCATTATTTCATTAAAAAATATTAACTTGAGCCTCCCTGGTGGTGCAGCGGGTTGAGTGCAGTGCTGTGACGTTGTCCGCAGCCTCTGCAGTGCAGGTTCTATCCCAGCAGGCTGGCCGGCGAGAATCCCACATGGCACGGCTGACCTCTCCTGTCTCACCCGCTGCTCCCCTCAGCAGGGTATTTCTGTCATCTGCCTGTTCTGCTCCCCACTCTTTCCCTGGTGAATCCTCTCACCCTCCCGTGCCCCTGGCCTGTACCCCAGCTCTTGTATAAAAATAAATAAATCTTTAAAAAAATATTAAAATCTTTGATCTATCTGAATTCATTGTGGTGCAGGTATGAGTTATGGTTCTAATTTAATATTTTCTCAATGGCTCCTCAGTTGGGATGTTGATAGAGATTGCACTGAATCTGTTTATTGCTTCAGGTAATATAGTCATTTTTGCAATGTAAATTCTTCTAACCCAGGAATACAGAATATCTTTCAAACTCTTTGTGACTTCTATTTCAACAATGTCTCATAGTTTTCAGTGTACAGGTCTTTCACTTCTGTGGTTAAATTTATTTTTTATGCAATTGTAAGTGGAATTGTTTTCCTGATTTCTCTTTCTGCTAGTTCATTACCTGTGCATAGAAATGCAACAGATTTTTGTATATTAGTTTGTAGCCTGCTGCTTTACTGTATTTGTTTATTATTTATAATGGCTTTTAGCTGGAGTCTGGGGTGTTTTGTGTATATTATTACATCATCTGCAAATAGTGATAGTTTTACTTCTTTCTTTCCAATTTGGATACTTCTCTTTCCTTTTATTTTGGGTCTAATTGCTCTTGTGAGGGCTTTCAACATGACATTGAATAGTAGTGGTTAGAATGGACATCTTTGTCTTGTTCCTGATTTTAGAGGAAAAGTTTTTAGTTTTTCCACCATTGAGCCTGATGTTGGTTGTGGAATTTGTTGTATGTGGTCTTTATTATATTGAGGTATGTTCCTTCAATACCCTTTTGTAAAAGGGATGTTGAATCTTGTCAGATGCTTTTTCTGTAGATATTGAGATGATCATATAGTCATTGTCCTTTCTTTTGTTGATATGGTGTATCATGTTTATTGATTTGCATGTATTGGACCATCCTTGCATTCCTGGAATAAATCCTGCTTGAGCATGTTATAGAATTCTTTTGATATACTACTGAATTTGGTTTGCTAGTATTTTGTTGAGGATTTTTGTATCTTCATCAGAGATACTGATCTATAGTTTTCTTTTTTTGTAATCTACTTCTCTGGTTTCAGACTCGGGATAATGTTGGCTTCACAGAGTGTGCTTGGAAGTTTCCCTCTTCAATTTTTTTTTGAAGAATTTGGGAAGGATAGGAATTAATTATTCTTTGAAAGTTTGGTTGAATGTGCTAATGAAGACATGGTATCAATTCTTCCTATCCAAGAACATGTTCTTTTTTTATTGCTCAAGTTATCATTTGGTTTCGTCAGTAGCATTTTACACCTAGTCATTTTATCTTTTTTTTTTCTTTGCAGTTATAAATAAATGTCATATGTTTCCCATTATATACCCCAATTGGTTGTCATTTTTACGTATGAAGGCCATTGATATTTGCATATTTTATAGCTGGCCACATTGCTCAAATTTGTTATTATTGGTAATTATTCTTTAGTTAATTCTCTTTGAGGTACAGGTATACATTCCTATCTCCTGCCAATATTAAATTTTTTATCCTATCCTTTTCAATTTTTTATACAGTTAAGTGATTTTTCTTATTTAATTACACTAGCTGGCACCTACAGAACAATGTTAGGTAATAAAGAAGATAATTGATGTCCTGTTCTTATTCCTGACTTTAATGGGAATGCTTTTAGAATTTGGAGTTAAGATGAATTTATTCTATCATGTTAGGAAATAGTTGTTCTTATTTCATTAAGAATCAAAACATTAAGAATGGTTGCTGGTTTATGCAGATAATTAATACTTAGGTTCTCTAATGTGGTAAGTTATATTAATATATATTTTGACATTAATCACCTAGCATTTCTTAAACCCTACTTGATCATGATGTGTTAATCTTTTCTTTATTTTCAGATTCTATATGCTATTTATTTAGAATTATTGCAGGGAAATTCATAAATGAGATTGACCTGTCATTTTTTTTTTTAAAGGTTCTTCTGTTGGGTATTGGTATTATCAGTTCTATGCTGACTTCATAAAAAAAAAATCTTGAAAACTTCCTTTTTTTCTATGTCTTGAAACAGTTAAGATACCTCTGGAGAGACCCTTCCCCTAATGATTTGGCAGAATTCAAGGGGGTCAAGGGAGCCAACCATAGCCTGGGTCAGCCCCTGTCAACTTCTGCAGGTGATGTAGCAGCATGATTTCTGCGGTGCTGATCACAAATCTAGAGACACGACTCCCAAGTCCTTGGGGTGGGAGGCTCCCTGGTGCCCTGGTTCTCTGTGCAGGGTTGGCCTGAAAGCATTCCATTTGAAAAGGTAACAGCAATGCTGGGTGACAGACACAATCTAGGGTGAAAAAGGCTAGAACAGGAGAATTTCTTCAGGGTGGGATGGAGATGAGATGGGCTGCTGAGTCTGGGTCAGGCTCCAGGTGCCCATTCTCTCTTCCTGGGCTCTCTCAGAGCCTGCAAGAGGGGACTTTCACATGCGTGTCTCTCTCTCCCTCCCTCTCCCTCTCCCCCCTCTCCCTCTCTTTCTCCCCCCCTCCCCTGCCTCTCCACCCCCCCCCCCCATCTCCAGGCAGCTGTCTGCTGTTCTTTTTGCCTTTGGGTCTCCAAGTGACCTTGGTACTTCTGCCAGTTCCTGGTCATTCACCCTGTGAGGCAGCACTTCGTGTCCAGTCACCAGCAGCGGCCCCCAATCATTTCTGTGTGTCAGCCAAGGATACTTCCTCCCGACACTCCATAAACACCACTTTATAAGCTTCAGGTTCTTCTCCCTCTTCCACTCCCTCCTCTCTCCTGCTCCCACTCCTTCAGGCCTGCTGGCACAGTTTAATTTCCAGTCCTGGTATTTCTCCCCAGCCCGTGACAACCTCAGGTGGAAGCAATTTCACCGTCTTGTAACTCACCGGGTCATTATAATTAGTATCTGGGCACCTGGGGCGAGGGTGGAAGGGCGGAAAGGAAAGGAAAGAGTTGATCCAGCCAGGTGGAGTGCAGCGTCTGTGGACTGGGGGCTGGGGTGCCCCTTCCTCCTGCTTCAGCAAGTAACTCAGATTTTCTCAGGCTCTGATTTGATCACACCCTGTCCCCTCTGTGTGTGCAGAGTGGGAGGGAGGTGAGGAGTCAGGGATGGCTAAACCTGGCCCTAGGTTTACACAGAGGAATCTCCTCCCTGAGTGAGAGATGGAGAACCCACATCTGAGGCTGGCATGGGGTGAGGGCTGGATGGGGAGGAGATAAATTACTTTACACTCCACCCCCTATACTACAGGACCTGGTACCCCAGCATGCTGCCACTCCCTGCCTCCAGTCCTTGCAACATCAGAGCCAGAGTCCATCAGAGCTGGTAATGGTGAACTACATTTGCCTGGCGGAGGGGGGTAGGTGGGTGTGGCTGCCAGAGAACCAGCCTGGTAGGGGAACAGGCCATTTCAGGGATTAAAATTTCTCATCACTTTGGTGAAGCAACTTTTTGTTGTAAGTAAAGGAGACAGATTTAAGCCAGAGGAAGGGTCTTATGGTAGGAGCTTGGACCCTTTCAAAGGAAACTAGAGGAGAACCAGGAGCTGTGAGATGCCAGGAATAAGGCAGGCCCAAGACTCCCAGAAGTCAGAAGAGGCGGGTCTTTTCTCTAGGGAGTATGTAGTTCATGTGATTGAGAGCTACAGCTCCTCCTCTCTGTGATTCCCAGCTAAAACTTCCAAATTCCTCATTCATTCATTCACTAAATATTTATCAAGCCCCTCCTGTGCAGGAGCAGAATCCCAGGCACTGAGGGTGCAGCAGTAATCAAAAGAAGCAAAGTATATCTCTTGCATCTTGCTTTATAGGGGGACAGATTCTGTCCCCCTACAGTTTGGGTCAGGTGTCGACCTTGTACCCACCTGCGACCAGAGTGTGTTTGTGAGTCAGGAGGTCACCCCAATGGGTTTCATTATGACAGTCAAATAGCCCTTTATGACAGGTAGGCTTTGTCTGGACATCACAGAGAGCAGGCAGTGGGCTTAAGAGAAATAAGGCACTATGCATCATCCTTACATGGAGGCACGAAGTGTTTGCTTGGGGAGTCTGGATGTCCTCAGGTGCAGTCTGTCCCTGTCGTAGTCCCTAGGCTGTCTGGATTCTCCGCTTCCAAGCAGGGGCCTGAGGAAGGGACTCCCATACAGTCAGCTTTTCTCTGTGCCCTGCTAGAAGTTTCATAGACAGGGACTAGGCCTGCTTCTTCTGGTATCTGCTGTGGCAAGAGCCAACCCAGGGCTGGGCATTCTCAGTGAGGACTGTGGCCTGTATTCTTGTAACCCATCTCTGAGTACCCCACGTTCTCTAGTCACTGAGTGTCCCATTCACCGCCCTGCCCAATTCCACATTCAGCTAAGAAAGCAAGCTCCCAAGCCCCCTCACTTACACTCCTCTGTTGAAACCCTCCTCTTCCTGACCCGGGTTCTGGGAAATCTGGCTCACTATGCCTGGTCTCAGCAGAATGTGCCTGGGATGCCTGTGCAGATTCCCTGGGCAACCCCAAATCAATCACTTGGGGCTTCCCACTTCAGACCAATTCCTAAGGTCCCAGGCGACCACTCCTCCGGGGTTGGAGCCTTGTAAGGGGACTGCTTGTAATAATACCATTATGCTCCTTAGCCGGGGGCAGGCTGAGCCCCCAGTGAAGCGGGCCTGCTATTAGAACCCTGCAGAAACAAAGTAATAGCCTGCGCAGAAAGCCATTTGTAATGTTGCTATAATTCCCATGATTCATTAAACAGGGATGGAAAATGATAACATTTCCCCTGGAAAAAAAACTCCTCCTGGAGTTGCATGCTGAGTTCACTTGGCTCAACTATTTTATTGACTAAGCATCTTGTTGTGCTGATGTGAATGCACACAGGCCTGGCGCCATTTAGTTTTACATCAGCTGAAATGGAAGCAGGGGAGGGGGTCCTGCCCAGGCTGGTCTTGACCTTGAAATGTAGCTGCTACCCCCTACTGGGGTGGCCCAATCTGGCATCTCTTGCAGGCTGTGGTGGGGGGCGTCTTTGGGGCTAAGTCAAGTCCCAGGGTGTGCCTTCTATAGGGCCCATCCCTGGTCCTCCTGGCATATAGGATCTGTGACCTCTAGTTACCTGTCCATCTCCCTGCTTCCTTTATATGGTGTCTGCTGGACATGTAAGACCCAACAGACACCATATAAAGGACCTTTCCAACTTTAGGTTGTGGAATATTCTTTCCCAGACCTCCATGTGACCATGCTAGATCCTTGAGGAGCTTTGTACATCCTTTTCTTTTTTCATGCTAGTAGGGCAATAGATTCAAAGCCTAGAGACAAGCTAGAAGGTACCTAGTGAATCTGATGGACATAAGGCAGCAGGGAGTGGTGGCGACTGCAGCAAACTGAGGAAAGTTAATGTTCCATCTATGAACATTATTTCCAAATGCTCAGAAAATTAAGTGCCAGCCAACGCCAATGGGCTCTAGTTGAAATAATGGAGCCTGGGCCTTGGGCTCTGCCCTGGAAATGCGCTTTGTTTGCAGGGGCTTCCTTCTGCCTTTCCCTTGGGAAAACTAGCTCCTCTTTTAGAGTCCAGTTCTGATGTCACCTCCTCCAGGAAGTCTTCAAGGATTCTCTCAGCTGGAAAGACACTTTGTCTACTCTTTGCTGTCACCACCTTTGGGACTTCTAGTAGTATTTGTGTTTCTATATAAAAAAAGTATAGCACTTAGAAGGTACCAGACTCTGTTCCTTGGACTTACTACGTACTTTAATCTTAATATTTTGTTATTGCTATTGAACAATATAATATATGTACCTAAATTACATAAAATCTAAATGTACAATATAACAAAAACTTATAAGAAACCATTATGTAAATACCACCCAGGTAAAAAAATACAGTTTATTACATTGATGAGGAAATATGGGCCCAGAGAAGTTAAGTGACTACTCCTTGGTCACACAGTCAATAAGAGGGAGAATTGGAACTTGAACTTGAGGCTGCTTGACCCAGGTGCACATTTGAATCACACCTCAGCTACCTCACCTGTGACTAGGGTCATCAGATTTAAAAATAATGATGCCCAGTTTGTTGTAAATTTCAGATAAGCAATGAATAACAATTTAATATAAATATTCCAAGCATTACATGGTACTAAATATATCCAAATTATTGTATGATACTAAAAAGCCATTTGTTGTTTTCCCAAAATTCAAACTGAGCACCCTGTATTTCATCTGGCAAACCTCAAATAATATCTTGGTCTTTCTTGTGAGAAGGTCATTTGAGTCTCTTTTGCCCCTCTTTATGTGATTCTCTTACAGGGTAGACTTTTGCCTTGTTCTCTCTGAGTTCCCTATACACACCCCTTAGCAGGTGCTCAGTAAATGTGGCTTATATGGTGTGGACACAAGTTGTTACCCTAGGAGAGACCATGGGACAGCGTCTGCTGAACTTGGTCCTGCCTCCCTTCCACCCTGATACCTGCTCTAGCTCTGGGTGTCTGGTCCTGAGATTCAAGCCTCATTCCCATCCCATATGACCAGCTAGGGGAGCAGGACTCCAAAACCTGAAGTGACTGTGGTTCTTCCACCTCAGGAGCATGGAGGGTCTTTGAGGTAAAGTGCTTTGTTCCTGTTTTACAGATGAGAAAACTGAGGTTCCACAAGACCAATGACTAGACAGGGGTCACACCACTGGCTTGTTTGTTCTTATTTATTTTCTAAAGGGATTTTCACAGCTTGGTGGAAGTGGGGTTCAGTTCAGCTCTGACTTCAATTTTGTCCTCTCCTCTCTCCAGGACTGTGGAGCCCATTCTCAGGACCCTTGCTGGCAAAAGGCTGAATCCTGGGCATGTGAAGGATGAGGAAGTAGAGAAGGAGCACACACTGCAGACAGATACAGGGAGGGTCTGGGGACATCAGCTGACTCCTCAGGTACAGACTCTCCTTGGTAGTCACTTCAGGGGCAGCCTATCCCTCCCCCTGCTTCAGGAGGGAGCATGTCTGCCAGGGTAGGCAAAGGGGCTAGTTAGAGTGTTGGTAATTTTACTGTTGATGTTTTAGGGCAGACCCCAGGTTCAGGTTGTCATTGTCTTACTCTTATTTCACCTCATTAGACAAAATAAAACCAAATCATTCATCAACCTCTGCTTAATGTAGAACTGGGACACTTGCAGGCAAGTCATTGTCTCTTGACTTTCTAGCTCTGCTGGAGCTGACAACCCCCAGACATTTATATCTGCTTTCCAGGACAGGCGCAAGGCTCTAGTCATTCATTGGCTCCAATCCCAATGTCAACTTCAATATCAGCTCCTGTCCCAGTCAATGTCATCTTAGCCAGCTCCATCTCCAAGGCCAACCTCAGATCCTTTCCAGCTCTGTCCTAGTCCTAGCCCAGCCCCACCCCTAACCCCAGCCTACTCTTTCTCTAGATGGGACCTGAAGGCATCAGGATCTCTGGCTGTCATGTCCTGTGGGATTTGTGCTCAGGCTTTGCTTTCTTTAGGTTCATCTGGGTACTGACTCCACCCATCAGCACCACCAGTACAGCAACCAGACCTGTAAACAGGGCTCTGGGTCATTCCTGGAAGGGCTGTCTGGGAGCACGGAGACTGTCCAGCCAACTCTCCTAGGGGCTTTCAGATTCATGAACTTCTCCGGGGGCTGCGGGCCTGGAGCTAGTTCAGGCATACTTCAGATGTGAGGGCCAACCCCCATCTGCAGAATTGTGCCCTTTGATATCACACTGAGGGCCAGGGTAGCACATGTGCTTTGATGGTATATGTGTACCTGCGTGTACACATAAAACCAAATGTGTATGTGCGTGTGCACATGCATGTACAAATACACATGCATGTACCTGCACTACTCTGCACATACCAGGGATTATTTCTATTCGGAACCCCTCCATGGGTAGCAAGCACAGACTGCAGTATGTAAAGAGGAGGGGAGATTTGAGATTGGAGAAGACTTGTCTTGTCACATGCATATTGAAGGGGCAGAGAAAAGATGTTCAGCACCATGGACAAGCAGGTCCTGTGATTACTAAATGAGGGAGCAGAGGGTAGAACTCTAGCTCAGCACCCGGGTCAGAGATGGGGAGGAGGGTCCTTGGTGGAGGCCCATCCTAGGCTGCCCTGTGGTAACCAGAGACCATGAAATGAGGTGTTTCAGTTCCCTGAGCCAGAGATGGGCAAACCACAGGGAGGGTGATTTGCTTTTCAGATACAGCTGCTCCAGTTGGAGGCTTTACACTTGAGAGGACACTTCTCCCTATAAAGTTGGCTGGCCTGACTCAAGGAGACCTGGACAGAGTTGGGGTTACAGTTTCCTGATCCTCATCCTTAACCTGTAGGAAAATACAGGACAACAGAGCCACTCCATCCCCCCAGACAACATGGACCACAAGTCCTGTGGCCTCCCACAGCTGGCTGTGTCCTGGAGCTCCTACCCTAAGACAATTGCACCCCCTCATCTCAACCCACTAAGGCAACCAATATTTATTAAGCATCTCCTGTGGTTTAGGCATTTTCTAGGTGCTGGGGAACACAACACAAATATTCTTGCAGTCAGGCAGGGAAAATGGGACACAAACATCATTAAGTCAAATAGAGACTATGTTAGATGCCACAAGTTCCATGAAGAGTGCAAAACCAGGGTTCAAGTTAGGGTGTGTTAGGTGGTAATTATAATTAGCATGGTCCAGGGAAGAGAAACACAAGCCAAGATCTGAAGGAGGGGTCATGGAGGTGCTGGTAGTTTCCCCCATCCAAAGGCACATGGTAGGGTGAGAACTCTTATGAGGGGCTTGATTCTGCAGAGGGGGTTATAAAATCAAAGACCTGCAGATGTATCACCTGGCTGCCAGTTAAACGGAGCCCTCTTCCCAGTGCTGGGTGCCTCCAAGGAGTCATCTCAACAATCCCCCTGTTGAGGTTGATACCTCCCCCTGTGGGAGGTTTGTACCGGGGTCATTCCATTTCTATTGTATAGATGAGGAAACTGAGGCTCAGGTGCAGACCATGACAGAGCCCTGATTGGAGTTTAGACAGGAGAGATCCCAAATCCCATCTTCTTAAAATTTTGAAGTCTCAAAAATGGGCATGGGGTGGGGTAGAGCTACTTGTTATTGAACCTAGCTCTACTCTGAGGAGTTTTGAATCAGAACCCCAGAGTTTCCTCTGGAAGTAGCTCCTGGGACAGAACTTTCTGGGCAATTGCTTCTTGCTGAATTTTCCGTCACTGCATCTAAGGGTTCCCTGTCTTCCATGGACCTGTGCAGCCTTGAACTGGTTGGAGTCTCCAATAGTCCACACCAAATTCTGTCTATCCTCCTGCCTTCTCCAAGAAGTCTTCCCTGATTGAGCCCTGATACACCATGGCTGCCCCTCTCTGCTCAGTCCTGACTTTGGTTAGCTCCTTAATCCCATTTCCCGGTAGGGACAGATTGTGTTTGCCCCCACCCCCTCAATTCATACATTGTCATCCCAAGACCAGTATCTCAGAGTGTGACTGTGTTTGGAGATGGGGTCTTTAAAGAAGTGGTAAAGGTAAAATGAGGTCATGTGGATGGGCTTGAAACCACGATGAGTGGGGTCTTTATATAGAGCGGGACTAGGACACAGAACAGAGGGAAGACCTTATGAAGATACGGGAGAAGATGGCCAGCTACAAATCAAGGAGAGAGGTCTCAGGGGCAAACAGCCCTACCAACCTTTATCTTGGACTTTCAGGCTCCGGAACTGTGAGAAAACAAATTTCTATTGTTTTAGCCACCCTACCTTGCAATGCTTTGCAGCCCAAGCAAACAAATACATCTCTGTTCCCTTCTCTAAGTCTCTGTTCTGATGGGAGAGCAGCGCCTGCTAGGAGCCCTGCAAGACCCCTCCATCTGGTGCCATGTCACCTGGGTCCTGGGGAATAGAGGTCAAGGTCACTAGCTTACCATAGCCGCACCCTCACTGAGATTCCCATCCACGACGGCTGTCACAGCACCGTCCCCGCAAACGTCACTCCAGCATGAAGCCATTCTGCCACTCTGTCATGCTGATGTGGCGGCTGTCGACCTCGCTTGCATTTTGCCCCAGCAAAATTCCACAAAACTGACATTCAGAAATATTCTCAGGCTGCAGATGCATTGCCCCGTACCTGGTTCTGCCACTCTGGCATCTCAGCCTGTTGGCCCTATACCCTGACCCCTCCACGGCTGACCTTCCCGTTGGGATGTCAATGTTGGTCATCCTTCAGAGTTCACCCACTGACGGGTGCCCTGCGTGGGCATCTCCTTCTCTGGCTGTCACTAGCAGTGTTCTCCAGCCTGCCTGCACGCTGTGCCGTCCTGCAGCCCATCCTCACCTGTAACCCTTACAGGTGTAGCCCTCACCTTGCCCCACATTGCTCCCTCCAGAGCAGACCCCTCCTTTCCCTCCCCACCCCTGAGGAAGCACTGCCCCCTTCCTTGCATGTGGTCAAAGGGCCGCGTGCGCTGCCCCAGATACAATTCATCAGGAGCAAGAGATTTACCCAGAGGAAACTTTCCACAGTTTGGCCACGGCTCATTGAACAGTTTTTACTCATAAAATCCTGACACCAAATGCGTGGTGCTTTCCAACACCACACCCACTTCTTTCATGCTCCATCACCAGCGGGGTGTCCAGGCACACCATTCACTTCTGACACTCGATACCTAGAGTAGTGTCATGCACCGTGAGGTGAGGTGCCCAGTCCTACAGGCTTCTCCCCACCCAGATGCCAGCTGTAGGTCCTGGGCCTCCAGTACTTCTGACCAACGCCATGACCCCTTTCTCAAGTTTGAGAACTTTCTAGAACAGCTAACAGAATCAGGAAGACACTTGATTTATATCTGCCAATTTATTATAAAGGTTATGGCTCAGGAAGAGCCAAATGGAAGAGAGGTCTGGGTCGGGGGGAGCCTCCATGCCCTCCCTGTGTATGCCTCCTCTCACCACCTAGGTGTGCTCTCCAGACGCAATCATTGAGGGTTTTTGTGGAGGTTCTTTTACACAGGCATGAATTGACTGAATCATCAACTTCTGATCTTTAATTCAATCTCTAGCCCCTCCCTTCACGGGAGGCCTGGGTATGGGGGTGGCATTAAAAGTTCCAGCCCCCTAGGCATGTCTTGGTCTTTCAAGGAAGCAGCCTCTTCCTGAAGCTCCAGGGACCCCAGCTACCAATTCATTAGCATACAAAAGATACTCAATACTCTGGAGAGCACAGTGGTTTTAGGAACTGTGTACCAGGAACTGAGACAAAGACCAAATATTTACTTTTTATTATATCATACCCACACACATGTGCAATGTCAACAAATCCCCTTTTCTTCGAAGTAATGAATGAGTCTGTCTGTTGCCGCTGAATGATCCCCAGGAGGTCCCACTGCCTAAGCTGACTGCACTACCTCCCGAGATTTCCCACACTCCTCTACCCACCCAGCCACTCTGGAGTCCTGGGTTCTGGGATCAGCTGCTCTATGTGCTAGTTGTGTGACTTTGAACAAGTACCACCCTCTCCCTGAGGCCCCTCTACAAAACAGAAATGGCACCAACAGTACCCACACCTTAGTGTTGTGCGGAGAAGCCAATGGGACTTGCCCATACAGCACTGAGCAGTGCGCGCCTTAGAGCAGGTAGGTCCTGATAAACAGGGAGGTACTGGAGCTCGGCTGCCTGGGTTTAGATATAGGAACCAATTACTAGCTGTGTGACCTTGGGAAAGTTACTTGACATCTCTGGGCGTTATATGTAAAATGAATTCACCTCCTAGACTTGCTGTGGGAGTGAAATGGCTTAACATGAAAAAGACTTAGATCAGTGTCTGGTATAGTGTAAATTCTATGTGTTAGCTCTTATTGGTCCTGTTATTTATATTATAGTCCTATATGTTATTAGATTTGCATCAGTGCTGGCTACTGATATTCACTGCACTTCCTCTGGATGACCCACATCCCATGCACTCCGCTCACCCACTTCTGACATTGGGTAACAGCTCACAGATGCTTTGCTTTATTTTGTCATTCCCAGAACCACTGGCCTGCCATAGTGGGCCACCACCATCCCCTCTGCCTGGGAGCGCCATCTATTTTCACTTGGGCAACCCCCCTTGTGCTTCCGATCTCAGGCCACAGGCATCCTCCTTGGGGAAGCCTGCACCCTGCGAGTTAGCCTCTGTTAGATGTGCTCATGAGGCTGCACATGCACTGTGCTGATTAGGGTCTCCTCTTACCTCTACTGTGATCCTCGCTCAAGTTTATCTCCCGGGCCCACAACGGGCCTGCCTGTTGCTCATCATTTCACTTCTGGTGCTGACACGTCGTGGGTGTCCAATAAATGTTTGTCGAAAGAAGAGAATGCATAAAGGCCCAGGGACGCCCTCTGCCTTGCCTTCCTGGGCCCTGGGCCAGGCCCCTCTCCTGGGGGCTGTGTCAAAGCTGGACTCCTCTCTGTATCCTGCTGTCATTTTCTGAGCTCCACAGGTGGGGACGGGGCAGGACTGTTGACATGGGGTGTGGGGGGAAACAGTGGGACTCACAGCTGGACTCGCAGGCAGGAAGCAGTGCCTCCAGGAAGTCCTGATCAGCATCTCAGCTGTGTGTGTGCAGGAGGCGACCTTACCCGAACAGTTTGCGTCATCATGCTCATGTTTCTGGGCTCCCTTCCTACTCTCTTCACGTCCTCTCTTGCTCAATCTTTTGGTTTCAGATACTCTTCGAGTGCTGCTGTCTTTCAAGGTGTGTGTCCCTGGCCTGCCTGGAGCAGGGAGGAGGTCTCTGGAGGCCCCATCCACCTGCAGGTCTTGAATTGAAATTGTGAGCACGGCTAGGGAGCATGATGGGGGCAGGTTCCAGCCATCTGCAATCAGTTCTACTGTGCCTGGGGAGGAGCAGGCTCCAGGGACCCCACAAGCTCTCCTGTTGATGTGCCAGCTCAAGCCCCAACTTCAAAGTCCCTCTGGATTTTTTGAGCTTGGATGTTAGTCCGCTCGCCCGCCTACCCCATAGACCCAACATGGGTCAGGGTCATGTTTGTAGAACAAGGCAGTCTGAGTTCCAATCCTGCCACCCATTTTCTGACCTTGGGCAGTTGTGTCCTTGTCACCTCTCCAGATCTCTGTTGTTTCACCTAAACTCACACTTTGTGTGTTGTTGAGAGTCTAGACAGCAAGTGTGGACAAGGGTCACTGGTAAGTAGATGGGGACTCCTGGAAGACCTGCACTTCTCCCCAGCTCTCTGACACCTTACTGGCCTCTGGGTCACTGTCCACTACCTCCTCTTTATCACCTGGGCCTCCCAACCCTTCCCCCCATGTCCTGGATCTGGTCCCCTCCCGCAAGTGAGCCCCAACCCATTGGTATAGTGCCAGTCTGTTAATTTATGCACAAAGTGGTTTATATTCTTCTACCTCTGAAATAACATCTCCAGAAGTCCTGTGGTGGGTTGAAGGCACATGGGACAGCCCCACAATGAATGAAGGGCTGATGCAGGACTTGCCATGTCGTTGGTGCTCCGTGTGCGATGAACACATGCCTTTTTCTTCACAGTCAGATTTCTAGAAGGAATAGTCTAGATGTCATGAATTCAAATCCTGGCTCTACTTGCACCTGTGTGTTTTTAGCAAGTTCTGTGCCTTAGTTTCCTCATGAGTAAAGTTGGGTTACTAACACCTTACAGGGATGCTAGGGGGCTAAGTGAGATGATCCACGTGGTAGGAGTTAAACAATTAGTCGTCACTATTCTTGTTGGTTTTATGTGTACCTCTCCCATTTATCCTCAACCAGCTTGTCTTTCTCCTCCACTTGAACAAAGATGTCTCTG